CTTGAGCCCAGGAGTTTGAGGTTGCTGTGAGCTAGGCTGACGCAACGGCACTCTAGCCAGGGCAACAGAGCCAGACTCTGTCTCAAACAAAACAAAACAAAACTCCAGAGGAATAGGAAAGTAGGGGGTTGCAGGACAGAGGCAAAGCTGAGAAGGTCGGGAGGCTGGTAGGTGGTTGCATTGTTATTGCCCTGAAGTGCTAGAGTGGTTGAGTCTTACCCGTTTGTATGAAGTGATCAGTTTTCCAAGCGTCTCCTGGTGGAGTAGAAGTTATACCAATATTCAGACACTCCTCTCCCCTCTTTAGTTTCTCATCTTTTGAGGTAGGTTCTGTTGGGAGAGTCTGAACCAGTCAGGCGCTGGGATGTGCCTTAAATTCTACTCCGTTGGTGTTTCGTGGGAGGCTGTTTATGTCCTGCGCAATCTATTTCTGCAGTTTCAGTCTGCCGTTATAGACAGGCCTGGACACTGATATCATTGGGCATTTCTTTTTCTTTTTTTTTTCGAGACAGGGTCTCACTCTGTCGCGCAGGCTAGAGTACACTGGCATCATCAGAGCTCACTGCAACCTCAGACTCCTGGGTTTAAGTGATGCTTCTGCCTAGCCTCCCAAGTAGCTGGGACTATAGGTGTGCACCACCACGCCAACTAAGTTTTCTGTTTTTTTGTACAGATGAGGTCTTGTTCTTACCCAGGCTGGTCTAGAACTCCTGGACTCAAGTGATCATCCTGCCTCGGCCTCCCAAAGTGCTAGCGTTACAGGTGTGAGCCACCAGACCCAGGCTCTTTTGCTTTTTCTGTAAATAAGCAACACCTTTTGTAATATTCCAGTGCCGGCCCTTGGGGCCTGGAACACTTGAGGCCTTGGGCTTCTGTAGGGTCCCCGTCTTCAGCCGCGGGAGGTGGAGGTCAGTTCTGTGGAAGGCTCTCCTGGCGAGGTTTGGCGTCCTCGCTGAGCCTGGGGAACTCTGGAGTCTCCCCTTGGTGACTTCTGCGCAGTCCAGGAAAGGCCTGGGCTTCTGTCTGCCTGCCTCAGCTGGTTCTGAAAAATCTGCTTTTCTCTTTTTCTTTCCACTTAAAGTCACGAGGCCATATAGCTGATTATGCTGGTGTCTAACTATACTTATTCGTCTTAACTCTTAATTCTCAAATTTTTGTGACTTAATGTTGATTATTTTTCTAAATTGCATCAGGGTTAGCAAGAAGTAGGCATAAAAGTAAACTGAGATATTATTTACGCTTTTTATAAAGTACTGTTTTTTGTAAGAGGCTTAAGAGAATGATAGAGGCTGACAGCCTATATCATTTAAATTAAAATGTTAAAAATCCTTTTAAACAGATCCTAATCAACTTTCAGCAAAACTCTGTGCTGATTTCTTCATGGAAGTACTTCAGTTTTAATTGTTGTAATGATCTCACCTAATTGGTTCATCTGTATCTGAGTCACAAGCCAGAGGTTTTTGAAGCCCTGTTGGACATTCCTTCAATTTGCCACCCTCCAGAATCGTACCTTACTCAGGGAGTGACGTGTTGCTTTTAGAATTTGGAAAGATTTATGACTGACAAATTGAGCTTTATTAACTAACTTCGTTAGTAAGTTTTTAAGCTCTCATGTTGTTTGTAAAAGGTTAAACATTCTCAGTTGAATAGTATTTGAAGAATACATTAGATACCTCTTGACACAGTTCTCAGATCACGCGGGTTTGTTTCTAGAACTTGCTGAACCTGCATCAAGGAGATAGTTACGCTTCTGATGCCTCGGGGGCAAAGAAGTTCTTGCGTGGCAGCTTTTGTTTTCAATTGTAAAAAATTTATAACATAAAATTTGCCATCTTAACCGTATTTAAGCATACAGATCAGTAGTGTTAATTATATTCACATTGTTGTTAAACAGGCCTCTAGAACGTTTTCATCTTGCAAAACCAAAAACTATATCCATTAAATAATTCCGTTTCTCCCTGCTATTTCAGCTTTCTGCTTCTGTGAATCTGACTGCTTTAGGGACCTCATGAATGCAGTCGTACAGTATTTGTCTTTTTGTGACTGGCTTATTTCACTTAGCGTACTGTCCTCTAGGCTGGCCGGGCTTGGTGGCTCACGCCTGTAATCCTAGCACTCTGGGACGCCGAGGCGGGTGGATCGCTCAAGGTCAGGAGTTTGAGACCAGCCTGAGCAAGAGCGAGACCCCGTCTCTACTAAAAATAGAAAGAAATTAATCGGACAACTAAAAACATATAGAAAAAATTAGCCGGGCATGGTGGCGCATGCCTGTAGTCCCAGCTACTCGGGAGGCTGAGGCAGGAGGATCGCTTGAGCCCAGGAGTTTCAGGTTGCTGTGAGTGAGGCTGACGCCACGGCACTCTAGCCCCGGCAACAGAGCAAGACTGTCTCAAAAAAAAAGAAAAAATGTCCTCTAGGTTAATCTGTGTTGTAGCCTGCGTCAGGATTTCCTTCCTGTTTGAGGGTGAATAACACTCCATTGCAGGTATGTGTCACACTTTGCTTATTCACGCATCCGTGGACACTCGGGTTGCTTCTCTGAACACATCCTGGCTGTCATGGATAATGCTGCTCTGAACACGAGTGTGCAGATCTCTGTTTGAGACCCTGCTTTCCATTCTTTTTGGACACCGACTCAGAAGTGGGTTTGCTGGATCGTATGGTACTTCTAGTTTTAATTTTTTGAGGACCGGCCGTGCTGTTTTCCACAGGGGCTGCACCAAACTGTTCGTAAGGTTCCAGTTTCTTCGCACTCTGCCAGTCACGCCTGTTACTCTCTGGACGTGGGATGGTAGCCATCCCAGTGGGCGAGAGGTGGGATCTGTGGTTTTGGTTTGCATTTCTCTGATGACTGATGATACAAGCATCTTTTTGTGCACCTGTTCCCCATTTGTAAATCATCTTTGCAGAAATGTTTATTCAAGTCATTTGCTCATTTTTTGGTCAGGCTTTTTAATTTTTTGTCATTGCGCTGTAAAAGTTCTTCCCGTATCGGGATATTAACCACCTGTCAGATCCATGATTTACAAATAGTTTTCCCCATTCCATAGGGTGTCTTTCCACTCTGTGGATTGTGTCCTTTGATGCACAAAAGCTTTCAGTAACCCTGGAGTAGTCCCCGTTCCTTTTGGTGTCGCAGCTCGGAAATCATAGTCACGTCTAGCGTTGCAGAGCCTTCCCTGTGCTTTTTCCTAGGGTTTTTGTAATTTTGGGTCTTACTTTTCGGTCTTTAATTCATTTTAAGTTAATTGTTTAATATGATGTAAGATAAAGGCCCAACTTTATTCTTTGTTGTGTGGATGTCCAGCTTCCCAGCACCATTTGTGGAAGAGCCCACCCTTCCCCCAGTGAGTGGTCAGCACTTGTTTTACAGGTTATTAGTTCTTCTCTTTCAGCTCTGGCCGGTTCCCATCCGTTCATCTCTTCGAGAGTGTTCAGGTTAAAGACTAAACGCTAACTGGCAGTTAAATTCCCTGTTGCGTGGTGAGCGGGTTTACGGAAGCGCAGGTACGGGTCTGGGTTGCTGGAGGGTGGTGTCCCTTGCTGCAAGGGGGAGCAGCTGTGGGCTTTCACAGCTCACAGGCCACACCCAGCCCGGGGGACCTCTGCAGTCGTTCGGACGCGGACCCAGGCCGCATCCTATTAAAGCCACAACTACTTTGAGGTAGCCTTTGTGTAAGAGGACTGTTAAACTGTCTGTAAGAAAAGTAGTTTTCATTGTGGATATTATTAAATATTCATTCCTTTCAAGGGTGCTACTAGGCCTTGAATTTTAGGGATCTCACAGAGCAAGCTGATGAGCTTCTGAGTTACTTTGTGCAGCTGCGACTGCAGAGGCTGAGGGCAGTTCTTGGGCTCATGTCCTCGTTTCCAGAGGCTGTGTTCCTCACTTGCTCTTTGCTGTACACAGCCTCACTGTCCCGAGAGCTGAAGGTCATCACAGACCAGAGCACTTGGGGCAGCTCGGCTGTGGCACATGAGCCACATGGAACGTGGGATTTCACTGGCACTCCCATGTAGTGTGCTTGGGCGCACTGGCGTCCTTTCGTTGTGGAGGACGTCTGGAATTCTGTGGACATTTTCCTCTTCGATAATGCATGAACATTTTTGTGCATTTCACACGTCAGTGGAAGATGTATTTAAAGTGAAGAAAACTCAGCGTTTGCACGAAAGCTTTAGTATGAGTGTGCTTTCTCAGAGTTTATAGATGTTGCTACATCTTAAAATAGGAATTTAGATGTTTCATACATTTTGCTGAATTGGCTTCTTAGGGTGCTGTGTGCTCAGCATTTATGAAACGTGGTTCATGATGACAGTATGCTGAGAGGCGTCTGAAGTCTGCTGCTAACTATTTTTCTTAGTTGGTCACCATTCTCATTTCTGGTGGTCATCGGATACAAATGGCTGGTTAACAAGAAGCCCGGTATGACGGTGCCCACTGTGGTCCCAACTACTCAGGAGGCTGAGGCGGGAGGATCACTTTGAGCCCGTGGTTCGAGGCTGCAGCGTTCGCACCGTGCTTGCATCTGTGGGTGGCCACTGCACTCAGCCTGGGCAACACAGTGAGACCCCATCACTTTAGAAAAGAAAGAAATGCTGCATGTTATGTGTCTTGACTTTTTCTTCTTTTTTATTATAAAATTTACATGTTAACTTTTTAAAACTGTCTTTTTGAAACTGTCATTTCAGAATTTCTAGAAGGAGGAGTTGGCCACGTTGAAATGTTATTTCGCTGCAACTATTTAGCTTTAGTTGGTGGTGGAAAAAAGCCAAAGTACCCTCCCAACAAAGGTACAGTATTCATGCATTTAAGAACCATGCTGCATTTGTGTGTATCTGTGTCTGTGACACATAAGGTCTCCCCTGCTAGTCCTATGCTAGTCACTGGGAAGAAGCTTCCAGAAAGAGTGCCTCGTCTTCGCACTGTTCCCAGAAGCAGTGTGTGGAGAGGGTCATTTGTTCCCATTGTCGCAGAACACTTGTGCTGGGACGTGGGAAATAGAGGGCTGGCCAACCTGTGGCTGGGTGTCATGAGTGTCAAGAATTCATTTTAAAGCAAGGTACAGGGGATTTGTTTTTCCTGCTGTGAGCCACTGACTTACAGAAACATTAGTTTTGTAGCCACACTGAACACAGTACCAGTTTGGCTGTGGGTTCAGGTTTGGGGGGGCGGGTGCGTGCGTGGCTGTGTGTTGAAGGAATTGCAGGGTGAACGGCCTGGCCCTGTGAAGGGGGGCATAGAAAGCTTTGCTGGCCGCATCCGTGTACCTCCTGCCAGCTTAGACTAGCTATTGGCTGAGGGAGAGGCTTGAGGAGAGAGACCCAGGAAGGAGGGTTGGACCCAGGGAGCGGATGGATGAAGACTGGAAAGCTGAGCTGGGGACAGGTCAGGAGGCCTTGAATGCCAGGCGAGGGCGTGACCAGGAGAGATGCCGGCAGGTGTGTGTTGTAGGGAGGACTTGGTCTAGAGGCCGAGCGTGAGATGGAGTGAAGAGACGTCAGAGGTTGGAGGCAGCAATGAGACGCCCTGGTCACAAGAGGAGGTGGGAGGAGAAGCGAGTGCGTCCTCGGCGGCAGACGTGGAGAGTGGGAGGAGGCTGGAGCCTGAGAAAAGACCTCTGGGTCTGTGACGTGGGAACCCAGTGGGGACCGATTGCAGAGGCTGTGGGAGGTGGGAGAGGAGGAGGGGCAGAGTGCAGAGAGGACGGGGCTGAGGGTGGGGAGGAGGCGGGCGAGCTCGGGGCTGCGCAGTCGGGAGTAGGCCAGGCCTGCCGCAGGCCTGGGTCGCGTGGAAGGCAGACGGCTCTAGGTGACTCGCGAGGGGCTCCAGGGCCCCAGGCTCGCAGGTCTCAGCGGAGTCCACGCCCGGGGAGGGCTAGCCCTGATAGTTGGTTCGTGTTTGAATTAGGAGCAGAGAAATGGGATGGAAAGAGACTGTTGGCTGGAAAAGCAGCGGAAGGCCGGGTCGAGCGGCCGGCCTTAGAGCAGGCTGAGTCACAGGCCTGGGGCTCGTGCGCGGGCTTTGGAGCAGCGTGGTGAGCGTCCCCCGGCACAGCTCGGGGCAGCGGCCTGTGGCTTGTGAGCCCTTGTCGTGTCGTGAAGAGTTTCCTCGACCACCGAGGAGAAAAACGAGGCTGCGCTGGCATGTCCGGAGGCCTGGGGTTCCCTCGGCAATACGCCGTCAGGGGAGGGGTGTGTGTCAGATAAACTCAGCTTATCTAGTTGTCCGAGAAGTCAGAGACTCTTAGAAACTTTATAGACTCAGAAGAAAGCAGTTTTTCACCAGGCATTCGAGTAAATACACTTTTTGTAAAATCAAAAGATAGTTTTTCTCAATAAAGTTTATTTTTTAGAGCAGTTTTATGCTCCCAGCAAAACCGAGTGGGAAGCAGAGAGTTCCCGCATGTGCGCAGCCTCTCCCGCCGTCAAGTTGGGAACCTGCGCGGACACGTCACTGTCACCCAAGTCCACGGGTACGCGGTTCACTCCTCGTGCCTTCTGTGGGTTTGGACACGTGTGACGTGTCCACCCTGCCACGCTAATTGTGTCCTACAGCAGAGCTGCTTTGCCCTGAAACTCCTCTGTGCCTGGTCGTCTCTCCCTCCCCCAACCCCTGGCAACTGCGTCTTTTGACTGTTTCCCTCACTTTGCCTTTTCTAGAACATCCCAGGTGGAATCGTGCAGTACGTGGCCTTTTCACACCGGCTTCTTTCCACCAGTAACGTGCGTTTCGGTTTCCACCGTGTCTTGGGTGGCCTGGTGGCTCATTTCTTGTGAGTGCTGAGCGACAGCCCTGCCTAGACCCACGGCTTGTTCATTCCCTCAGCTGCCGGGAGTCAGCAGCCGTGAACGAAGCTGCCGTGAAGTTCTCGTGCAGGTTTTGTGTGGACGTCTCTGCGATTCAGGCCGACGTCCAGGCACATTCGGTTGCTGGATCGTGTGGGAAGGGCACGTCCCCTCCTGCCTGTCGCACCTGCTGGGACGTCCGGTACGGTGTGGAACACCAGTGGCGAGAGGACAGCCGTCCTTGCTCCTGACCTAGCGGGAGGGCTTCGCGTCGCTCATCACCAGTGTGACGTCAGCTGTAGGTTTTCCTAGATGTTCTTTAACAAGTTGAGGAAGTTCCCTTTTATTCCTAGTTTGCTGAGTTTTTTTTTTAAATCATGAATAGCTGTTGGATTTTCTCAGATGCTTTTCCTGAATGTGTTGACGTGATCGTGTGGTTTTTCTTCTTTTAGCCTGAAATGTCTTTATCTGGATTTGGAATTAGGGTAATGCTGACCTCATAGAATGAAGGAATACTCCCTGTTTCTGTCCTCAGACAGAGACTGTACAGAATGGGTATAATTCTTTGTTATGTATTTGGTTAGAATTTACCAGTGACCCCATCTGGGCCTGGTGCTTTCTGTTTGGGGAAGTAATTATTGGTTTAATTTCTGTAGTAGATATAGGCCTATTCAGATTGTTATTGCTAAAGACAATTTTTAAAAAAGAACATGGTCTGATTAGCCTTTGTGAGATTAAGAATATGATTTTAAGATTCTAGCATCTGTGGTTTGTGAAAAACAGGAAACATGGTGGTCATAGCGAGACTGAGGGAGTTTTAAGTGAGATTGTGTTTGGCATATGAGAAAGGGCTTTTTTCTTTTCTTTTTTTGCCCTTTTTTCTTTGGTAAGGAGTTGAGAGGGAGAAGGAAAGAGAATTCGGAATTTATTGATTAATTATTTTTTTTCTTTTATAGAGACAAAATCTTGTGTTGCCCAGGCTGGTCTCCAACTCCTTGCCTCATGCGATCCTCCTGCCTCAGCCTCCCAAAGTGTTGGGATTACAGGCGTGAGCCACTGTTTCCTGATTATAATTTTTTATTTACATCAGGAACTATATTAAAAGATAAACACATGAAATCCTGACATAGCACATTTTTGTTGTTTTTGTGGAAGCTGCATTTTATTTGAAAATCCAATTATTTTTACTAACATATTTTTATATTGTAAACAGAAATAGAATCTTGTGGCATAGCACATTTAAAATTTTCAGGCTGGGTGCAGTGGCTCACACCTGTAATCCCAACACTTTGGGAAGCTGAGGTGGGAGGATCGCTTGAGCCCAGGAGTTGGAGACCAGCGTGGGCAACATAGTGAGACTCCGTCTCTACAAAAAGTAGAAAAATTAGCCTGGTGTGGTTGGTGGCTCACGCCTGTAGTCCCAGCTACTTGGGAGGCTGAGCAGGAGGATCGCTTGAGCCCAGGGGCTCGAGGCTGCAGTGAGCTATGATGACGCCATGGCACTCCAGCCTGGGCAACAGAGCAAGACCCTGCCTCAAAAAAATAGAATGTTCAGTGTACTTTGCAGCGGCAGTGGCCTATAGTCCTGCAGGAGGTCGCGACTCCTGCCCTTTGCAGGTGGGGAAGTGACGGTTAGCCCTGGGCCCAGGGCGTCACATCTGGGCACATTCTCTCGTGAGCAGGAATTAGTGCTGCTGTTTCTCTGGCTTCATCACACTGTTCTCAGAAATTTCTGGAAGTGGAGTTCACCTGGATTAAAAGCCAGTGTCTGGCATTGTGACACTCTTTAAGTTGTTGTCTGCAGGGTTCTGTCTGGTTTGGGCCCGTTTGCACTTATTTTGAATTGCAGGCTTTTTGGTGTTAGGTGGAGGAGCCAGAGAAAGTTTAATTTTGAATTTAAAAGGTTCAAAAGTAGAAATGTCTTCTCCCTGGGAGGTCATTGTTTCAAGTCAGGTGACTGCGGGGGCGAGGTGACGGCGCCAGCAGCCGTGCTGGCGTCAGGACCCTTTGCGGAGGAGCAGACCTCCAGTGTTAGTGTGATGAACAAATGGTATTTTAATGGAATAAGAACAAAATCCTCATTTTCGTGTTTGAATGATTATAATTAACCTTGAATCGTAAACAAATCTGATGTTATTTAATAATGAGTTCGGTAGTTTTGTATGCTGGTGTTCACGCACCTCTCGATGTGAAATTTAGGTCACTTAGTCCATTCTGGCAAAACTCACCTAAATTCAGCCTCAGGGACACGTGTTAGTCGTAGTGTCACGACCTTCAGGGGCAAACGCTATTCCCTTCCCTCTTTGCCCACGACCTGGCTGTTGAAGGAATCTCATTCCCTCCCTTCATGCCCCCGGGTGGCTTTTCAAGTGTCTGGATTCTGTGCTCCCCGGGGTCCTCGGAAAGCACAGTGCCGGTTGGAGTTCTCATCCCCAACTTGGCCTCAGAACACAACCTTGCGATCCACTGTGACGGAGCGTTCGGTGCCAGCCGGCCAACGAGGAGAAGGTTCTGAACCCAGGAAGAGCAGGAACAACCCAGGAGGGTGGGTGGAGTTAAGACATTGCTGGGCCTGGTTTTTATCCATCTGATTTCACTTTAAAATGAAACCTTTCTTTTCCTGATGCAGGCTTGTCTCGAGCACTTAACAGTTAGTGGCTGTGGTCCGGCTTGCTCTTGGGCTCCGAAAAGTGGGATCAAAGAAGGGGGTGGAGAGAGGGAGGTGTTTGCCGGGAGGGGTGGTGGAGGGCAGACGGGGCGCCTGTGACACGGGTGGGCGGCCTGGGACCTGACGGGGCTGTGCCCCCGAGAGAGGAAGAGACGGCGGGAGGGGTGGGGGCAGGGGTCTGAGTGAAGGTGGCCCCTCTGCGACCGGCTCGGCAGCCTCCTCACGGCTTCATTCTCACATTCTCTCTGACCTTTCAGTGATGATCTGGGACGACCTGAAAAAGAAGACGGTTATTGAAATAGAATTTTCTACAGAAGTCAAAGCAGTCAAATTGCGGCGCGATAGGTAGGTTTGGTGTTGGTAGATTTTTTTAGAAAGTGGAATTTTACTTTCTCTAAAGATGGCTGAATTACCTTGCTGTTGAAGGAAGAGAAACGTGTAGGAAGTGATGTGTTAAATGTTGGTGACTGTAGTTGAGTGCGACAGAGGACGCAAGGATTATCCTTCTTCCCTCAAGATGGACAGTGAGTCTCACTGGCCTCCAGGGTCCTTTAGCGGTGACGCCCGCCAAGGACCGGGCGGTGGCTCTCGCACCTTCAGGATGCCGTGCCCCTGGCAGGCAGAGCTGCGGGCGTGAGCTGCCTCCCCGTCTGCCTGCGCTCTGCCAAGCGCCGCCCCAGCAGTGTTTCCATTGCGAGGACATTGAGACGGTGTCACGGACTCTCAGCTGTTGGAAATAGCAGGTTCTGTCGGCCATTGCCTTAGTGGTGCACTTAGGAGAACACGGAAGATTATCCCAGCACACTGAGCTTCGTGCGGATTTCAATGTGACGAGATTTACGTATCGTACTCCAAGTTTTCCATTTCTGTCCACTGTGGGAGAGCAGGGTGTCACACCTGCGTTCTTATGTACGGCTGTCATCTCCAGTCATGCCAGTATTCTTTCTCCTTTTGAGACAGGGTCTCACTCTGTTGTCCCAGATAGAGCAGTGGTGTCATCACAGCTCACAGCCCGAACTCCTGGGCTCAAGGGATCCTCCCACCTCGGCCTCCCGGGGTATTAGGATTACAGGCCTCACCACACCCAGCTCTCTTTTTTTTGGAGACAGAGTCTATCTTAGCCACCCAGGCTGGAGCGCCCTTCCCGCCTCATCCCTTGTCCTCCCAGTGCTGGATTACAGGCAGGAGCACTGCACCCCGCCCATGTCAAAATGTAAAGTCCCTTGATAATGCAAACGCTTGAGCCTCATCAAAGATCTACTTTCAAGCTTTTATTTATCCAGACATCTATCGTAGTATAAAAATAGAATTTCTGCCCTATGTGTTTCACTTGGTTTTTAATCTAGATGGTGTTTGTTGATGTCTCTTTGAACCTCAGAGAGTTCTCCTAGGCTAACCTCTACCCAGGTGAGAAGAGCCTGCTAGCCGTGCACGCCCCACGTGCACCCGCCTCGGGGCAGCACGCTGCCGACCCGCTTCTAGAGGCCTCTCTCGCACAGGCCACGGTTCATTTGTGTGTGGTATTTCTGGTGTTTCTGAGTTTCAGTGTGGTAAGAACAGAAATCATGAAGTATTTGGATTTTGACTTCTGATCGTGTTTTTCTTTCCAGAATCGTGGTTGTCTTGGACTCCATGATCAAGGTGTTCACGTTCACACACAACCCCCATCAGCTGCACGTCTTTGAGACCTGTTATAACCCTAAAGGTGAGAAATGCAGACGTGAGCGGTGCCGGGAAATCCGTCCACGCAGGTGTGCAGACCTGCCCTGGGGCTCCCTCCTCGCGGCGGCCAGAGCAGCCCTGGGCACACTCGCGGCGTGTGGAGCCGCGGCCAGCTTGCACCGTCCCCGCGCCTCCCCCGGCGTCCCTGCAGCCCAGCGTCCTGTACGGGTGGTGCTGAAACCGCCTCCTCGCCAGCGCTGGCGGGGTGCACACGGCAGGAGTCCCCCTTCCGCTCCTTCCCATGCTGGTGGAACCCGTGGTTTCGCCGACTCTCGCGCCGTGCACCGCGTCGGGAGCCCCATTCTGGTCTCGGGCATTTCCTCCCACTGTCTTCTGGGTTGAGGGCTGCTGGTGGCCGGCTTTGCTACTCGTTGTTCTATCCTTTTAGGTTTTCAGGGGTTTCCCCAGCTTTGCTGGAGTGTAATTCACATAAAACTCATTTTAAGGATATCATTTAGTAAGTTGTCATCATTGTCAACAGTATGTAACCACCGTCACAGTCAAGCATGGACCGTCCCCTCAACCTGGAAATGCTGCCTCGGGCAGTCCCTTTCCCCACCCGGCCCTCAGGTTTTGCCTTTTGAGACGTATTTGGCGTCTTTCCTGCAGTTGATGTTTCTGACGTTCCTCATGCTTTCTGTGTGTGTCCTCTTGCTCCTTTGGATTGCTGAATAGTTAGCAGTTTACAGTGCGGAGACAACGCAGCCGCTCGTCTATTCACTGGTCTGCCTATTGCGATCGTTCACGTGCCGCCTCTGCGTGGATACGGTCTTCCGTTCCTCTTGGGTAGAGGCGGAGGAGGACGGCTGCTGGGTTGTGCTGCGATCGCAAGTTTAACTTCGTACAGTGTGAAACGCAGCCAGTGCGTTCTCCGGAGCGGCTGCCTGCTCGTGTCCACGGCGGTGGTTCCGAGTGCCCCGGCAGTGTCGGTCTCCCGACTTTGGTCGTCCTCATGGCTGCGCAACGCCGCCGCCGCACTGGTGCTGGTTCCTGAAGGGGCTCGGCTTTGCCTGTCCTGAGGACCAGTGAGCGTGAGCTCATTGCCAGGCACGTGTCCTTTGCGAAGCGTCTCCAAATTTTTTGCCCATTTTTTAATTGGTTGTTTGTCTTATAACTGAGATGTGAGAGTTCTTTATATATTCTAGATGTCGCCCTTCGGCGTACTGTGCGAATATTTCAATGTGGTAGCATTCTTTACAACATATTTCTTTTATGTTTTCTTCTAGAAGTTTAGTGACTTTAGATCTTAGTTAATCTTTGATCCATTTCAAGTTAATCTGTAGACTGGTATGAGGTAAAGGCCCAAGTTCTTTTTTTCCTGTTTGTATCTAATTTTGAGCGCCATTTGTTGAAAGGACTATTTTTTTCTGCATTGTCTTACCTTAGTACCTTTGTTTTGTTAAATAAGTATATTTTTCAGGGACTCTATTCTGCTCCATTGCTCTGCATTTCTGTTTTTATGCCAGTCCCGTCTGGCTTGGTTCCTGGAGCATTAAAGTAAATCTCGAAATCGGGTAACGTGAGTCTTCCAGTCTTGTTCTTATTTTACAAGTTTTTTTGGCTACTCTAGGACCTTTGTTTTTCATATAACTCGTAGTGTCAGCTCGTTTATTGGAGAAGCTTGCTGAGGTCTTAACTGTGATTGCAGCGAGTCTGTAGAAGAATTCGGTGTTAACTGTAGGACTTTCCGGCCCAGGATCACGGCACGTGCCATCTGCCAGGTCGTCTTTGGTTTTCCTTTGCAATACGTCGTCGTCTCATGCTGAGGTCTCACACGTCTGTTGTTAAATTTATTCCTAAGTGTTTCTTGGTTTTTTATGCTGCTGTTAATGGAGTAGTTTTCAAGTTTTATGATTTTGCCACGACAGGCAGTTGACACAGTTGTTCAGCAAATGCTTTTGATTTTGAGGGGCCTCACGGCAGGTGGCTGTGCTCGGCCCTTTGACACCCTTGACGGTGCAAACCCACGCATAATTGTTACTGTTTTTCCTGAGGACCGGAGGGCAGAGAACAGGTTTTGATTGTGGGGAATCAGAGGCTTTGAAGTCGGTTGTCATTTCTGATAGATCTTCTCTGTCTGTTTAGGCCTCTGTGTCCTGTGTCCCAATAGCAACAACTCCCTCCTGGCCTTCCCTGGCACACACACGGGCCACGTGCAGCTCGTGGACCTGGCCAGCACAGAGAAGCCGCCTGTAGACATTCCTGCGCACGAGGGCGTCCTGAGCTGCATCGCACTCAACCTGCAGGGAACAAGAATCGCGACCGCGTCCGAGAAAGTAAGCGTGTGCCCCTCGCCCTGTCCATGAGCTGTGTTCTCTGCAGAAAGCCCTGCCTTTCCTCGTCTCGGGGTCACAGGTGGCACGCGGGCCCCAGTCTGGAGCTGCCTTGGCGTGGCCTGTGGCTAGTCCTGTCATCTGGGGGTCTAGGCCAGGTCTTCACAGATCATCTGGGCCAAGGAACCAGTTTTATTTCCAATTCTGTGCAAACCAATACATTGTAAAATGTGATAAAAATAAGTAATTTTTTAAAAAAATAAGCAAGCAGTACCTGCTCAAGTTTATCATTTGAATCAGCAGACGTGGAAGTCACACGACCTGCTGTCGTAAACGTTCCGGAACCCTCGCCCTCAGTGCGTGTCTTTGCAGCCTAGTGCGGCTCAAAAGCCATCTGCCTAGGTATCGTTTAGCTTGCCTGATGTAAAAAACTCATTTTTAAAACTAATTTAAAATCTTGGGTTCTTTTACCTCCTTCAGCCTGAATTCAGACTTTTACCAAAAAAAAAAAAAAGAAAATTGGTATCTTTTACTATAGTTTTCATTCGAGACCGCAGGCCCAGTGTCACTTTGTGGGACATCACAAGCTGTTACGCGGGGTGAGGCACAAGCCAGCAGTCGTGTCTGTCTGTGGACACGGTCTGGTCCGCTGAAGTGGGGACGGCAGGGGTGGGGGGCGGGCTCTGCTCCCGCCCGACGTGGGCAGCAGGAGAGGTTGGCGTCAGTCCCGGGGGACGAGTGGCAAGTCCGGCTTCCTCCTGGGAGTCAGCTAAGAAGAGGTTCAGTTATTTTTAGATATTTTTCTTCAGAATGTTGTTACATTAGCAACAGATAAATATTGTATAAATTCAGAAATAGGGTCTTCAGTGGTCTCAGTATGTTTCTTCTTACCCTTTTTACCTTTAGGGTCTCCTTCCTCACCTCCCCGCAACCTTTAAACACAGTCCCGATTGCGGATGTGGATTGTACTTCCCTACTTGTTTCCGCAGCTCCGCGCCGGCTGGCCTAAGCGGGTCACTGCAGCCGTGAGGGTGTTCCCCTCCCTGTCCTGCGAGTGGGGTCCCTGCTGCAGCTCCGGGAGTGGAGCTGCTGGGTGGAGGGTGTGGGAGTTTCCTGTTTGCACGTTTGTGCTCAGCTTTCCACAAAAGATTTAACAATTCACACCTTCCCCAGTTACCAGAATCAGCTAAGGAATCCTCTTCGAGTTGGGGGAAATGTTAAAAACAAAAAACAGAGTTCTGAGCCCTTCCCTTGGGTCTTGGGCACCTTGTCTCTTCGGGAAAGTCAGCGTAGCCAACGGGGACCGCCTGACGGCAGATGGGAGTGCTCCTCTTCCTGACCACGCGTGCGAGCTGTAATTGAGACGGCCTTGCTCTGGGGTGTCGGCCGGGCCGCCCTGCCAGGAGGTGGTCTCCGGAGCCCCTCCTGACCACTGCCCAGTCCCGCGGGCCTGGGAGCTGTGAGCCCGTTCTTGGGGGCGCAGCGTTGCGTGGGCAGACGGGAGACGCAGAGTGGACGGCGGGCGGGTCGGGGCAAGGGCGGTGTGGGCTGCTGACTGTGAGTGCGCGTCGCGTCGAGCGCCGGCTGAGACGCTGTGAACCTTTGATAATGGAACACTTCGCTGTTTTTCAAAGGGGACCCTTATAAGAATATTTGATACTTCATCAGGGCATTTAATCCAGGAGCTACGGAGAGGATCTCAAGCAGCGAATATTTACTGGTAAGGAAATAACTCACCTCACCCAGAGAAAAGCTGTTGCTTTGGGTTGACGACGCAGAAACGGGCCTGTGGGATTTGAGGGGGTGTCAGGAGCAGCTGCCTCGTCCCAGGCGGTGGGGGAAGGGCTCGGCTGTCAGGGGCTCAGGTGTTTTTTTTTTTTTTGAGACAGGGTCTTGCTCTTTTGCCCAGGCTGGAGTGCGGTGGTGCGATCACAGCTCACTGCAGCCTCCAGCTCCTGGGCTCAAGCGTCCTCCCGAGTAGCAGGGACTGCAGGTGCTGCCACGCCTGGCTTGGGAAGGGTGGTTTTTGAATTTGGTGCCTTGAATACGAAAGGTTGAAGTCTTCCAAGCTGGAGCACAGCTGTGCGGATCAGGTCCCTGGACTCCGTCCGCACGAACTGATCTTGGTCCCGTGTTTTCTGCAGCATCAACTTCAACCAGGACGCGTCCCTCATCTGCGTGTCCAGCGATCACGGCACCGTGCACATTTTTGCAGCCGAAGATCCAAAAAGGAACAAGCAGTCCAGGTGAGTTTCCGGAAGTCTGGTGGTGGGGAAAGCCCAAGTCACAAGGACTAGATCGCTTCAGTGTGGACCAGCTTAAGTCAAGCTGGAATCTTTTCATCTAACGTTCATTTGATTTTTGTTGGGCTTGAAAGTCAGTGCAGACTGTTTGCCACTAAAACAGTGGCATCGTTCCTTCCGTCCTTGGCTCCTTACAACGTGTCTGGCGAAGGTCCAGGCGTGTTTCAGAGGATTCAGAACCTAGTCCTGAACTCGGACGAGTTTCCGTCGTTCACTGTGTTTGGAAGGTTCATCCAATGGCCTGAGAAACCTGCGCCCTTCAGTGCTGATGAGCCTGGTTCTATCACAAAACCATTCTAACGACTCCATTTTGGGGGGTGAGAAATAAAAGCTGAAATATAATTTTTAAAGACGTTATTAAGGCCAAAACTATGTTAAGGAGAACATTTTAAATTTCTGGTAGCATTCTGGGTTTAAGCAGGTGGCTTTTTGGTGTCTTTAAACTTTGCCTCGGGAATGCAGCCACCCTCTCTTCCCTGTCGTTGCAGCTTGGCGTCAGCCAGCTTCCTCCCCAAGTACTTCAGCTCCAAATGGAGTTTCTCCAAGTTTCAGGTCCCCTCAGGCTCTCCGTGCATTTGTGCCTTTGGAACAGAGCCCAACGCCGTCATTGGTGAGTTGCGTTCCTGGGAGGACGACCCTCCTCAGCCCCCGACCTGGGGTCCGTCCACCCTAAATCAGGTCCGGAGTCCCACAGGCTGCCCGCCCCCCCCGTGCACCTGTGTCCTGGTCCCCATCTGCATGGCCCCCGAGAAATCGTGGGGACGGATCTTTTGGCCCCTGTACAGGTAACCAGTGTTTTGTTCCTGTGGCCAACACTGGTGGAACACGTGTGTGCTCAGGGAGGGAGGGGCTTCTCAGGGGCTCCCAGAGGCCCCGTGCAGTTGTCCGGTGGGGCTGTTAGCTGTTCACTCGGGAGGGGGAAGAAACACCTGAGTAAGATGGTCTCCTTCTCCCCAGCGATCTGCGCGGACGGCAGCTACTACAAATTCCTCTTCAACCCCAAGGGAGAGTGCGTCCGGGACGTCTACGCTCAGTTCCTGGAAATGACCGATGACAAGCTGTGACCCCACCAGCGAGCGCAAGGAACCGCTGGCCGTCACCCCTCGGGCTCCTGGGGCTGGTGCCTGCGCCCTGTGGGCCACGGGCTGGAGGGACTCCCAGGGACCTTGGTCTCGAAGCCATACGTGGTTGTCTGCTTTGCTCAGAAAGACTTCCCATTTCCAGCATTACAGAGAGAATTGTCACCTAGACGCCGTAGAGAATTGTCACCTAGACGCCGTAATTGCTCAGCGCTCACGCCGCCTGCTGCCTGTCACCCATCTGCCCACCCGCGGCTTTGGCTTCGGTGGCTCCACTGCACCCTCGCACTGCCGGGGGCTCCGTGCAGGCCTGGGGGCTGGGGTGAGAGGATGGACCCACTGGGGTTTGTGTTTGCAACAGGTTCCATCGCTTTTACCGCGTCTGCAGTGGGGAACGAACGCGTGTGTCAGTGTGGTTCTCGCGTTACGAGCAGATTTAAACAGAACACCAGCAGCTTGCCTTAGAACGGAGAAGGGAACAACTCCTCCCTCTGAACGCGGAAGCGGCGACGCAGCCCTGGTGAGAGAACACGCTGGATGTTCACTCAGCCCAGTCCCCAGCTCTGCTCTGCCCGTGACGTAGCTGCCGCGCCCGCTCGTGGGCGTCCACCCCGTCGGGGCCGGCAGAGCACGGCCACGCCAGACCACCCCGGAGAGCCGGTCCTCGGGCTCAAGGAGTGCGGGGGCGGCTGGGTCTCCCGGTTACATTCTGGGTGAAAACTGAGTTTCCCTGTTACCTGTAGGGAACAAAGTAAGGTGCAGACTTTAAACATTTGTCACAGAGGAAAGTACCGCTTAATTTAGCGGGACATTTCCACAAAGCAGTGCCCAAGAGCGTCCTGGGGCAGTTCTCGTCAGCGTGGTGGCAAATGCCTCGGCCAGCCTGTCGTCACTTCCTGTCACTGTCTGTCCCCAACACGTGTGAGAATAGCTGTACACTAATGTTCTGGGAATGAAAGGCACAGAACTTTTTTTTTTTTTTTTTAACATTTGGTAACTAAAGTAGGTTATGGGCTCTACATTCTCTACTACTTAAGGTCTATATTTAATTTTCTTAAATTCCTTTTAAAGCAACTTAATTTTATGGTTTTGGTTTCAGGCTGAAACATTTAGAGTCTGCACAGCAGCAGGTTCTCTGTTTTGCCAGCTCCTTTGCTGTCTCGTAATCAACTAACTTCGAATGTGGACTTTGGTGTCAAGTATGCATGTTATTACTTTTATGTGTATTTAATCATGAAGTTTAATTTTGCACACTTATTTGTAATGTTTCTTCTAAATAAAAGTGACTAATTTTGTTGTACTCTGTGCCTGTAAAGGGAACTAAGAACTGTGCGTCACAGAACCAAATGCTCCTCCCCTTGTTGAGAATCCGGTTGGGCGGATGCCGCGGCCAGAGCACGGAGCCCAGAGCTTCGTGACCCCGCCCCCTGCGCTGGTGACACCCTGGCCTGGGAAGGCGCGCACTGCCCTGCGGCAGCCTCAGCGCTGCAGGACCAGGGGAGCAGGAGTCCACGAGGGCTGCATGAGGCTCTCGGACAGCAGAGGTGGAGAAATCCCACTGCGGTTTCCATGCGTCTCCATCCGGTGTTGGGCTGGCCTCGGCCTCCGCTGTGGTGGGCACTGGGTTGGCTCGGTCCCCTTGGTTCCTCTGACACTTAGTCCTGACTTCGCGGGTGCATGCGACAGATAGGATCCTTCGCATTTATGTAACTGCCGGTTTGCAAACGTTAAACTAGAGGGAGGATGCGTAGGCGAAGGGTGAGTTTTCTCGAGTGCACAGAAACAGCTCTGAGCTGGTGAGGCCAGTTCACCAGGAAGGCAGAGCGAGTGACGGGCCAGGCCTGGACACGGGGGATCCCGGCACATCCCGTTGGCATGGGGGCGAGAGCCCTGCCCGCTGGGAGGCGCAGCTGGGCGCCTGGCCAGCTCTCGTGTGGCCTCCCTGGTGGCTTCACAGCCCGGGAAGGCAGCTGCGGCCACATCTCGGGGGCTGTGCTCTTCCCTTAGGTGTCTGCGTCGGGACGGGGGACCGCAGCTTGGCTCAGGTGCCACCTGCCCTCCCCAGGCGTGTGCTTTCTCCACCCTGAAGGGAGTCCGTGGGGAGGAACTCGGGGTCCCTGCTGCTGGGAGCCTCGGGTGAGGCTCGTGGGTTCACTCAGCTGAGCAGAGGTGACTCTTCAGCTGGTGGCTGCTGATCTGAAACATCACGTAGAGAAAGCTCGGGGGGCTGCTGCTTCCTCCGCGGCCCCTTCCTCCCAGGGATTCAGAAGTCCCGTCCGCTGGTCTGTTTGTCCAGCTGCTTCCTTGGTGGGCGTCGACTCCCAGGTTTCCTGCCTGATTTTCCAGGTGCGTGGGCACGACTCACCTGCCCTTCCCCTCCGCCAGTCCACTCCGAGCCGTCCTCAGCCTGGGCAGGGACGTGGCCAGCGTGGAGGCCCCGCCCCTCCCATGCCTTAGCTGGTAGCACCAGCCGCCTGCAGCCTCGACGGCCGGAGGTTTTTATATTTGCACTTTCTGCAACCAGAACAGGCCTCCAGCTCCCAAAGATTACTCCACGTGACCCGGTCCCTCGCCTCTTCGCAGTAAAGGCATGTAATTACGTTTCTGGAAGATTTTTGTGCCATAGTTTCTCTCTTCAAGAGGGTTTGGAAAATACTTTATGATCAGAAAACAAAATGTTACTTGTAAAACAAAGAATGTACAGAAAACTATAAAGCTGTAAGCAACATTGCTATTTCTACCCCAGGGAAGACTCCTCTTGGAGAGCCCACACCCGGGTGTAACATCTGTAAGTCTAAATAGCGCTGAGGTCTCGTTTTTACCTTCTTCAAGCTCGTGAAGATGCCAAGACGTTTTAATCCCCGAGCAGGCACGCTCGTCTGCCTTTTTTGCTCTTGCAATTTAGAAATGGAAGTCACGTTTACACACTTGTCCAATTATTTCTTTGGGATAAAAGGAGTGTAACTGCTGAGTCAATCACAAATATCGTATGTAGGAATGACATTTAATCTTCGATGAAGAAAAAGATCTCCAGTGTCTAGTCAGGTTGAACACTTTGGAATACATTTGTTAGCCATCTGTTGATTATTTTCTAAATTGCTGTACATGTCTATACTTGACTATTGGTACATTTTGTCTTCTTTTCGTTCACAAAAGCTTTTTATATAAAAACTAATTTTTGGCCGGGCGCAGTGGCTCACGCCTGTAATCCTAGCTCTCTGGGAGGCTGAGGTGGGCAGATTGTTTGACCTCAGGAGTTCGAGACCAGCCTGAGCAAGAGCAAGACCCCGTCTCTACTAAAAATAGAAAGAAATTAATTGGACAACTAAAAATATATAGAAAAAATTAGCTGGGCATGGTGGCGCATGTCTGTAGTCCCAGCTACTCGGGAGGCTGAGGCAGGAGGATCGCTTGAGCCCAGGAGTTTGAGGTTGCTGTGAGCTAGGCTGACGCCACGGCACTCACTCTAGCCTGGGCAACAGAGTAAGACTCTGTCTCAAAAAAAAAAAAAAATAATTGTTTCTGCTTTGTGTTAAATAGAGTTGGAGTTTTTCACTTAACTGTATAGTACCTTTAAACTTCCTTTTTGAGATAGGGTCTCACTGCATCACTGCGGCTGGTCTTGAACTTCTGGACTCGATCGAGGTCCTGCCGCCTCGGCCTCCTGGCATGAGTGGCTGCACTAAGCACTCCCTGTGAATTTTCATGCAGTCAGATGCATCGACCCTTTTTCTTCTCTAGCCCTCGCTTGTGATTAAACAGCGTTTTCTCTGGACACTATTTCATGAGTTTCTTTTCCACAGTTCACTCTGTGACTGAAATTAATTTCAAAGCACGTAACCAGACGGGGTCTGGTTTTCCTCCTGCACAGGTGGCTCCGCACGGCTCACACAGGGGACCCCGCCCCAACTTGAATCCTGCTGTCCTGGCATCCCGTGGGGCAGCAGTCCCGCACATGCAGAAGCATCTCCTTTGATTAGTAAATTATACCGTTTCCTGACTTTGATGCCATTTATCAATGGACTCACTGTCTGCCAAGGACGGGCAGTACTCCTCCAAGAAAAACTAAACTTGAAGCCGGCACAAGCGCTGGGAGGCCGAGGCCCCCGCCTGAGCAACACAGCCAGACCCCATCTCTAGAAAAAAACAAACCCACTAGCCAGGCGTGGTGACAGCTGCTGTGGTCCCAGCTACTGGGAGGCCGAGGCGGGAGGACACTGGACCCAGGAGTCAGAGGCTGCAGTGAGTTGTGACCTCACCACCGCGCTCCAGCCTTGGGGACACCAGTGCTCTAAAAAAATTTTTTTAAAAGTTCCTAAATTCTGCTATGTGGCTCTGCTGATCTTAAGCATTCTTTTCTTCCAGATGAACTTTAACCTGAAATAATAGCTAAAAACAATTTGG